CCCTCTAGCAGAGAATCTTCCACCCACAAAGGGAAGAACAGGGATGCTTTAGATGTGTTAGAGACACAGTTTGCCCTGGATCACGTTAGTTCCAATTCCAAATGTATTCAGGTCACCTTCACACACCATTAGCTCAGCTACCAAGCCATTAGACACCATATGTGCATGACTGAGGGCCCCAGGGTCTCCAGGAAAAGAATTAATCACTGGGAACCTATCTGGCTGGTCGGTCTGATAGTTCAGCTGGTACGGCATATGTGGGCACACGGAGGCTGAAGCTGAAGTCTGCTTGGAAAAATTCGAGTGCAAAGAACACTCTCCTTCAGGAAGGAGTGGGTCTCGGGAAAGCAGAGGAGGCGGCTCTCTGCAGATGTTCTCCAGGTCTGACTTTCCAGATGGTTCCAAAGTTAGCAGCATGCAAATGTTAAATTGACTAGTTAATATAGCATCAATAAGAATAACTGTCATCGGAGTTGGGGTGATGGTTCGGTTGGTAAAATGATTGCCATGAAGCAAGAGGACCTGAGTTTTAATTAAGCCAAGGTGGGGCCAGGCATGGTAGTGCATCTACTCCTATGACCTCAGCACTGGGGAAGCAGAAGTAAGTGATTCTGAAGTTTACTGGCCAGCAAGCCTAGCTGAATCTGCAAGGCCCAGGCCAGTGAGAAACAAAGCGGATGGTGATGATGCGCCCATGTATAACTTAATGAACACACACATGCACACATGAATAACTAGCAGGCTGAAAAGCATCATACATACTTAAGAAACCACATGAAGACACTGGATTACAGTACCACTAGCAGGAACAGAGGAACGATTGGGTCTGGGAATTGAAGTCCGTGGCTGCTGACATTAAGAGCAAGAGATAGGGCCAGCAAGATAGTTCAAAGGGTGAAGGTTCTTCCTGTCAAGCCTGATGACCTGAGTCTGACCCCTGGACCCACATGGTGGAAGCAGAGAACATATTCCCAAAAACTGTCCTCTGACTAACTAAAATATAATAAATATTAAGCATTTTATAAAAGAAGAAAAAGCAAGACATTAGATGTCATGTGTTTGCAGACATTATCTACTCACAACGCTGATTAAGGAGTCTGGCTAAATCAAATCTGCGTTTCATCAAGCCACTATCTTATCTACCAATTTCAGAAAATATAGCAGGAAGGGAAAAATCATAAATCTTATCTGGCATGTACAATTAGGAAAATGTAGACCGTGAGCAGACTTAGCAGTTTCAACAAACCAACTTCCAAGAAGAAGGACTGCGCAGCTTATGGTTTGTGGTTTTGGTAATAGGCACTTCAGGCACAGGCCACTACTGGCTCCACCTCCATCCTACAGGTGAAGAGCTTCCAGTCAGGGGCTGGAGAAAGGC